TCTCTCTCTCTCTCTCTTCTCTCTCTCTCTCTCTCTCTCTCTCTCTCTCTCTCTCTCTCTCTCTCTCAAATAGAGTACACGTCCCCAACATCACGAGCCAACAAGAATAATTTAACAACGCCGACTAAGACACAGTGTCTGTGGTGAAAACGTAAACCCAGTTAAAACGTCTTTCAAAAAAATTCATCTTGAGGGAGGCGTAAGTAGGGGCGGCGCCATGGGTTTTGAGTTGGGGAGGGGGGCAATATTTTCCAGGGAACCTCCTGAACAAAATTGAACCTCTTTACAGGGGGCCTTCTGCGCAGGGTCATAGGCAAGGAGAAGGGACATCGAGGGCGTGTGCTCTCCCATCAAACTGCTACGTACATCATATCCAGGTAAATAAGCGTCGACGATCAAAATAAAAGTGGCTCCCTCACTATCTAGCAGTCTCGCTGGTGTAAAGGGCCTCCTGTTTCAGGAAAGAACATCCACATGCATAAGAGGGCAGTTTAAACCAGAGCAGGACTCTAAGGATTCCAGATAGGGCTCCAAATCAAGCCAAACAAGGCTTTCCGAGCCAGCAAAGGGGCTCCTTAATGCAAAATTGGACATCCTGATTTAGAGCACTGTCTACCTTATTCAATAAACTCAGGACACAGCAAATGGGTCTCTTGATTTAGCAGAAGATTTTTTGAGCCCGTTTTATAACTAAGTTCAGTTATAGGTCCTCCTCTATCTGAGCTTTAATGCTCTACGTATAGGTACAATGCCTTTAGTTGTGGAAAAAGCACCTCCCCATTTTTGTTTTGGGGGAAGGTAAGCATACGCTCGCTCCCTGCCTGCCGGCAGGGGGTAACCGGCTCCTCAGCCCCCCTCCCCGATTCCCCTGCTGCGCCGCCCGTGACTGCAAACGAGCAACACATATCGTCCTCGAAAGAAAACTTGGTCTACATAATAGACGAGATAATGTGGAGGATGGCGTGGGTGGAAAACCATGACTTGGGCAAATAAAACGCACAGATGCCGAACGAAAAAAGACAATAAACCAGTTTACACATCACATAAGCATCCCTTCTTGCGATTTTGTTAATTATTAACCGGCTCGCAGATGCCAGCGAACAGGTTGTTTTTCATGAGAAACGATGACTCATAACGATGCAATAGTAAAATTCTCAGTCCTGTGATACACGGCTTTTCCCCATTTGATCTGGTGATTGCATTGTCTTCTTATCTATTGGTGCTCAACATCGCGCACTATCGTGCCACGAAGCACAACCAATAGCAGGTAAGGTGATTCCTAAATGTCATTAAAATTTACCAAACCACAGACCTGGTCCAAGTCTGTAACAAGCCCGCCAAGGTCAGACAGAGGTCATGAGCGTCATCCCGAACGCACTTCCTATCCCCATGCACATGACCGAGCCCAAATGACCGAGCCCAAACAGCCAAACGCTGTCCGGCCTCGAGAACAATCGACGCGCCGTCGTGCCGCTGGCTCGCGCACCGGGTTTTGTGCTGGCAGCCAGCTCTCTGTGAGAGATGCGACTAGACATCACCCAGCTCCTGATCCCCTGAAGGGGTTTGCAAATGGAAAGATGTGGTATCTCACTTGAGGCAGACAGTTGTTTGATGCTTTTTAGCGGCGCATGCACTTCTTATGCACGGAGAGGGTGGGTGCGTTTGAAATATGTAACGATGTCAGCCTGTCGTGGGCCGGGCAGGCAATTAAATTGCGCGTGGTTTTGAGGTTTCAGGGATGGGCGACTTGTAGAGGCTTTTGCTTCAACATTAAAATGCTGAGGTAAAAGAAGAAACTTGACGAACAGAAAGCGATATCAAACGCTGTTGTCTGCGGTAACATGTTCCAATGAAATCAGGAGACGGTAATACTCACTTTTCAAAGGAAGACAGCTGTTTCAGAGTCATCGAAATCTTACTGATGATTATACTGGGCGCGAGACCAAGGTGAACTTTGGGCGCCATAGCACAGCTTAACAACGCTTACTTTTCATGTTGAAATAGAAGCATCGGTAGAAGCGCTAACCGACGCAGGCTGCATTCGTAAGCAATCATATGGCTCTCGCAATATTTCCACTGCTCTAAGCACCTTAATCACCATTGTTACGGCCCAAAAAGTCCAGTCAACTGCGACAGACACAATGCAAACATAAGCACAAGGCTCCCAGCCTCACCCCCCCCCCCCTTACACAAGCACATTGGCGTAAACACCACCGATGTAGGTAGGGCCTTGAGTCCCTGACTCCAGAAGCTTTTAGGCGGATTGGACTATCTTTTTTTACTCGGCACGTTTAAGGCGTGGCTCCGTCCATGTAAACCTAGCGACAGTGACGAGTCTGACCGGCGATCCCACGAGCCCTGCACGGGCTGCCAGGGCGGCTCGTGCAGGGCTATGGCCGCCTCGCCCAGTCGCTGGGCCGAGCTGCCTGCTGCGGGCCGCCTGCCTGACCAGGCGCCGCTCCGCAGGTGAGTCAGACGGCCGGTCCGCCTCCTCACCTGTCCCGGAGGGGGGGGGGGGGGGCTGACTCACGTGACCCGCGCCTGCCGCTCCGCCCCGCCGCCGGATCAGCCGAGCACGGCCGGGCAGACACGAGCCCGTCCGCCCACCGCGCTGTCAAAGGAGGCGGACAGTTAAAGCGGCAGAGACGGCCGAGGATGGACGCCGGCGGGCGGGACGGGATTGTGTGCTCGTTTCGGCCGGGGGGGGGGGGGGGGCTTAGGTGAAGCTTACGACCAGAGCAATACCGGCGATGATGCGTAGAAAGAGACAGCGCTGTCTTGTTTCACGGTTTGTACAGACCAACGACGCCACGGACTCAGAAGAAACGCCGCGATAGCACGGAAAGAGAGGGGGGGGGGGGGGGGAGGACGCCTTCCAGGAAGCTAGAAGCGGGCTTGATATTCCGCCAAGGTGGAGATAATTAACATTCAGGATCTTTCAATAGGATGGGGGCTCTCTACAAGGTGCGGCGGAGCTCCACCGCTGCTAAATTTGCTGCCCTCAACTGGAATTTTGAGGAAGGGCCGCAGAACGGGATTAAACCCACCGAAGAACGATATGTGGTTAATTCAATATGAGAAAGGCATCGCCTGCTTTCCCAATATATATATATATATATATATATATATATAATATATATATATATATAATATATATATATATATATATATATATATGTATATTACACACGTCGGCAAAGTCATGGTAGCGTGTTTTTCCACAGGCTCACGGCCGCCGACAAGGCATGCAAGAGGCAATATTTCTGACTTTTGTGATTTGTTTGGACTGAAAAATTTGGTCATTGGCACCTGGTCATTGGAACTTCAATCTTCTGCTCGTAAAGGAGTAAGATCAATGCGTCTTCTTAACACTGAATTTTTGTTTAAATGCCATGATATGAACACAATTAGATTGCATGCACTGTTGTCGTCATTTGTTTGCGGCCAGCTCACTAAATCTCTCGCAAAATCTGTCTTGTGGCTCAGACAAATTTTTCCAGACAGCGCTTTCCACCGCTGGGGTCCGCACGCAAGTCCCAGGGCGGGGCAGAGAATGGCTCCCACTGCCCTTCACCCCGCATCCGCCCCGCTAAACCGGCGGCCCTGCAAAATCTTTCCCGCCTAGTGGACAGATATCACACCAGTAGACATTCCAATGACACAGCTTGTTTCACAAACGCTCTCCACGCGATCAAATCACCTCGGGCTCTAGCCCGTTATAAGCGTGCGCGTTCCTGCAGTGAAAGCACGTCGCGCTGAGAGCAGCTCAAATCGGGGTGCTGCGCAGAATGGCGCCTTGATAACAGGCGCCACAGCTCACGACTTCATACGCGTTAGCGGCGCGCTCGATCTGACCTGCCAGGTGTTCAAGGCAGTAGATAGTAACGATTCACAGGGCCGCCACTTGACGCTGCATTAGCGCACGCAGCCGTGTATCGCGCCTGGTCGTGGCCTGGAGCTGCCTCGCCCCATCCACCTCGGTGCCGGTCGCTCGCACCTTACGCAGTGAACTGACTGGAAGGCGCGCCGATGAATGCGGTAAGTACAGGCTCCGTGCTGAGAACAGCCCAGTAACGTCCGCCAACAGCCCGCCGCGACCGTTGAGTTCGGAAGACGTGTCAAGGAAGGGCGGTTAGCCCCATTGCTCAGGCAATTTAATCGCAAGTGAGGATCGGGGCCAATTGGGACGCGGGATGCTCGTCCCAGTTAAGATTTTAAGACCCATCGGACGGGAACGGCCATCGCCGGCACTGTGCGTGTCCATGCGCACGAAGGGCACAGCTGCGCTTAGTCATTTGCCACTAAAGGGCTCTTGAGTGATTTACTTTAGTCATCACTCACCATAATCTGAGTCCGTTCCTCGTGTGTGGATCAATCAGTGACCTTTGAGCACGCATACCTAGCCGACACACGACATTTATACTGAACTCGAAACGTCAGCTTTTCAAACATGTGATGTTACCCCAATTGGCACCGATGCCAAGTTCCTCTGACCTTCGTGGCGGGCCCGTGCCGCGCGCCTGGCCTTTTTGTTTCACATAGGGTGCAATAGTCCCAAGCTGCCGCCACATCACTACCTCCTGCCCAGCCCTCTAGGCCGGGCTGCATGCGCTCAGCTTGTTCACAGGCCAGCGCACGTTCACGCGCTCCGGCCGCGCGCTAGGCACGCACTCGTCGACAGCGGCTCCCCCTCCCCCAACACCCCTCCTTTGCCCACCCTTTTCACCTGTGCGCAGGCCGCGCCAGGCCCAGCCGGACAGGCGGGCCCAACAACGCCCGGGGCCAGACGCCGTCGTGGTCACGTGGTCGGACCCCCCACTAGCCAATCAGCGGTTACAACCGGCGTACGGGCGGCCGGCCGGCCGGCGGCCCGACGCCGCCCCGGTAGTTTCGTGGCGCTCGGTGAGCTGTCTGGGCCCTCGCACGTGCGATAGGACTGCTCGCTGTCAGCGTATCGCGCTGGTGTGTGGTGCGCAGGTGTTGCGCGCAGCAGAATTGTGTGCGCAAACGCTGGCCTTCCCGGCGCGATAGCGAAGGAGGCCGCTGCTCTCGGAATTGTTTGGAGAGGTAAGTCTTGATATGGACTCCGTGCGAGAGCCGTTGGGCTCGACTGGGGATGGCCGCGGTCGGAGCAGCGCGGCGGGTCCGGAGCACCGACATTGGACACAGTTCTCAACGGGCTGCTGGGCTGTGGATGGTCTTGACATATTAAGGAGCTCGACAGGTTAAGTTTTAACATTTGCCTGGCTGTGACCTGTACATCATATCAGTACAAAGTTTTCGTCGCCTTTGTGATCCGTGAATGTGGCAGCTACCAGCCGTTGTTTGAACGCTGTCACGACAACGTGCGCCGCATTTCGAGCCTGTTTGGACGTAATGCCGAAGCGAGTGCTCGGTTTGGAACAGTCTGACGAGCTTATAGGTTGTGGCGACTAAGATGTCGTAGCTGAAACCAGTCCCCTCCTCCGGCGCCCACTCCGACCTGTCCCCTCCTCCGGCACCCACTCCGACCTGTCCCCTCCACCGTCACCCACTCCGACCAGTCCCCTCCTCCGGCACCCACTCCGACCTGCCCCCTCCTCCGGCACCTACTCCGACCTGTCCCCTCCTCCGGCACCCACTCCGACCTGTCCCCTCCTCCGGCACCCACTCCGACCTGTCCCCTCCTCCGGCACCCACTCCGACCTGTCCCCTCCTCCGGCATCCACTCCGACCAGTCCCCTCCTCCGGCACCCACTCGGACCTGTCTCCTCCTCCATCACCCACTGCGTTAATCGCGTCCCCTGGTGCAGGTCCGTGCACTAGCAGGCGGCACGACATCACTTACTTACCCGACCGCAGCACGCACACCTACGCACATCACGTGAAGCCTGCAGCCTGCAGTCTCAAGGACGGGACAATTACCGGGCCTGATGGGGTGATTAACTTGATTAAGTTTGCGGTGATTCTGCGGCCGCTCCAAAGCTGCCCCGAGGGCCTGCGCTGCGCCGGAGAGCTTTTCTGGGGCGCCGGCTCTTTGCGTTAAAGCTTTCAATCCGCTTATGCGTGCCTTTCACCGATCACATTTTCCCGGAAGCTGCCCAGTGTTCAAAACCGTACGGCCCTGCACATTATACTGGCTGCACGGTCTTGAGGCAGCGCCAAACGCAGCTGTGCTGTATATGGTCCGTTCATTTCCGGCCGCACGCTCGGCAGTATGTGGGCCGGGAGCAGTTGGTGGCCACAGCTGGCGAGCAGCAGCGCGTCACCGACGGCGGGGGACCGTGGTGGAAGCGGACCTGCACGGGCCGCGCCCCGCACCAGACCTCTCTGGCCGGGCCGTCGCGGCTCGTCGAGGGGGGTCGTGTCGCGGGTCCCCCCCCCCCTTCACTCCCCCCACGCGGGCGTCGTTGCGGGCTGGCGATGCCTCGATAGGCCTCGTGTCCTCCCACGGGACGTCGCGAACCTCGTCCCACCGGACACGCGGCGCCTCTCTCAGACAGCCGGGGTCGATAGGCGGGGTGGGCCGGTCGCTGGTGAAGACATGGGGAGAGAGACTGTGGACTGTCCGATGTCGAGACACGACAGCAGCCGAGACAAGGACGCGGATGGTTTGTGTGCTCACGGCAGGTACATTGGCGACGTTCGTTGCGTGGAGGCTCCGAGGAGTGCTTTGTGACTCTGTCCGTTGTTTCCCGCCTACTATCCTAGCGGGAATAAACAGAATGCTCAGCACCACGATTGGGCAAAAGTTAAGCACAAATAGCCATCGTCGTTGACGCGCCCTCAAAATTCCAATAGCAGACTGAGAACAATTTGTGTGACACCCGTGTACAATTGTCACCTGGGTTATATTGCGTCTTCACTTTCAGCTCGCACCTAGCGTCCATGCTGCCTTTGATAGTCAGTAGGCAGTTTTTATGTCGCAAGCAAAGTGTTACTAGACTTTCGCCTCCAGATTGCGTCTGCTGTCCCGCCAGTGACAATGGTTCCGTCGTGGCACCGTCGTCCGGCTTCGGCTCCCGCACTGATAGCAGCGTTCAGAGGCGGCCAGGCCGGCGCCGTCTCCCCACCGTCCCGGCGCCGCACCCGACCACGGCCACCCTTCGCCGGGACACAACAGCGAGGTCACCCGCCATCGCGAGACACCATCTGCCCCCTTCGCCGACCCCCTCCGGCCGCCCGTAGTGACGGGGCGGGGAATCACCGGCGCGGGGCGGTGTCTGGTTGTCTCGGCGACGGGAGTGCAGGTGGCGGCCGGCGGCGGCGGCCTCAGCCGTACTCGATACAGTGCCAGCGGCTGGCTCTTTCTCGTTCTCGGATTGGCCTCGTGTGGTTACTGACCAGGCGGCGGCCGTCGAGGCATCCTCGCGCGATCTCCCGTCACGTCCGTCACATCACACCACACACCCGTCACCCTCACTCCTCGCCTCCGTCACGTCCGTCACATCACACCACACACCCGTCACATCACTCCGTCACATCACTCCTCGCCTCCGTCACGTCCGTCACATCACACCCGTCACATCACCCTCGCCTCCGTCACGTCCGTCACATCACACCACACCACCCGTCACATCATCACTCGCCCTCCGCACGTCCGTCACATCCACCCCGTCACATCACTCCTCGCCTCCGTCACGTCGTCACATACACCACACACCCGTCACATCGCTCCTCGCCTCCGTCACGTCCGTCACATCACACCACACACCCGTCACATACTCCTCGCCTCCGTCACGTCCGTCACATCACACCACACACCCGTCACATCACACCCGTCACATCACTCCTCGCCTCCGTCACGTCCGTCACAACACCACCACCCGTCACATCACACCCGTCACATCACTCCTCGCCTCCGTCACGTCCGTCACATCACACCCGGCACATCACTCCTCGCCTCCGTCACGTCCGTCACATCACACCACACACCCGTCACATCACTCCTCGCCTCCGTCACGTCCGTCACAATCACACCCGTCACATCACTCCTCGCCTCCGTCACGTCCGTCACATCACACCACGCACCTGTCACATCACTCCTCGCCTCCGTCACGTCAGTCGTCGAGATGGTGACGCTGCCGCGCATCGGTCGCGGCCCTGGCGTCAGCTCGCGCGCGGTGTTGACGGCGGCCACTTCGGGTGTTGCCGAGCCTGGCACGGCCGGTGACCGCGCGTACGGCTCCGGCCGCTGCCGTGCCGGGTCGAGCTCTTCAGCCTGGTGATGATGACCTGGCGGGTGACGCGATCTGCGACCCGGTCCGGGCCCTGCTGGCCGGGACCGGGCCGGCTCCGGCCGGTCCGCAGTGGCCGCCCTGACCCGCTTCTCATGGGCGTCCGCTGCGCCGTCACCCGGCTGCGTGGCGGCGCGGAAAGCTGTGTGAACTGCGAGCCCGTTGCTTTTGCTAGCACGTGACGCAGACGGGCGGTAACGGGCCGGCCGAGCCGCGAGGCGGGGATGCGGCAGCTGAATGGGGCGCGTCGTCAACCGCTGTGGACTATGTTGACCGTCAACATGGACCGACTGATGCTCAAACAATGACCGCAAACAGGGACTGTCGACAGGGCTCAATGTGGCCTACCTCGACGTGCAATCAACGCCTCTATTGACCCGTTCTGCAGCCGGCGTCCACGCTGGACGAACTGAAGCGACCGCCGGCGTCTCTTTACGGTCTTTAATTAGCTGGCTGCTGTAGACTACGATTACGTGTAATGGCTAGGCAACGTGAACCCTGGCGGCGCTACAGCCAGGCTCCCAGATGAACATTTGCCGGCCGTTTACGTCCGGAGGGCCACCTTCCCATCAACGTAACTGTGGCTGCGGAATTTCTGAGGAGCGCCAGGATGGTAGATGGTTATCTCTTCTGTTTAATTCTTTGGATGCATGAAGGGATGCACAGCTTTGGTGCTGTCCGCGTGGGCCTTCTTGATGCATGCCGTGCTCGAAGCCAAGTCCTTACCGCTGTTCGTATGCGACGCGGGATCCCATTTCCCGCTTTCCGCTTGTTATTTATAGTGAGCGATAATCACGGCTTGTGCCGCGTCGTCCGTTCTCACGATGAGGACCGGGGGCGCGGCGTCGGGTCACTGGCCTGACCCCTGCCGTGACTCAGCGGCGACCTGTGCGCTGTCCGCCGGGGGTCATCCCACGCCCGTCGCCGTCCGTGCCCCGGAAATGCCCCTGTCACTGATCATCGACGCCAGTCGGGTTGACTCAGGCGCCTCACGGGCGTTACGAAATGCGCGATCGCTCATAAATTTCGGGGGCGGCTTGTCCGACCGACGGCTCGAGTGAAGGATGAATTATGTGACCCGCCGCCGGGGAGCGGCCGGCAGCGACAGCCAGCGGAAGGCTGCGGCGCGCTGTCCTGCACAGGGGCGCAGCCGTCGGCTTCAAGCCAACAATGGGCGGTGCGGGTCACCGGCGGCGGGCCCGGCCGCTGGAGAGGACCTGTCGGCGATTTAGCGCAGAGTCGAAGTCAGCTGAAGCTGATCCTGTGACCGCAGCCGCAGAGCGAGAGCGAACGCCCGTCGAGGCGGGGCTAGGAGCGGTGGTTTCCATTTACACCGTCATTTTCAGGCTGGTCAGGGGATAGCACGCCATATTCCAGTCTGGGCAGTCTGGTCAGGAGATGGCCCGACTGCAGTCCAGTCTGTTGCAGCCCTAGTCAGGGGATGGCCCCGCCTGTATCCAGTCCGGAACGATCCGCGTTTACGTGCACCGATCACCCGCCTGGACGCAGCGGCCAGGACGCGGCCGCCAGTCCCTGTCGGCCGCGTCTTGGCGGCGACGTGGGCAGACCAGTAATGGGGAACCCCCTGCCACCCTGACGCGTCCAGGCCTGGCTGCAGTGTGTCGTCGCATGCGAGGCCTCTCATGGGAGAGCTTCATCGGACCCGGCGTCAGAGCGGCTGACAGCGGCGCGTGGCGACGTTGCCCGCCGCTCTGCTGTTGCGGCCGTCGTGTTGACCCTGTAGCGAGTGTTTAGCATGCCGGAGATGTGTTTCCGGGGCCCGTCGAGCCGATGGGAGCGGCTCGCTCTGCATTCAGCGGCGTCTCCGCCGGGACCCTTTCCGAGAAGCCAAAAGGCGGCGACCCCGGTATCGTGATAGGCCATCTGAGATGGCGAGGATTTTTCCAGAGAAAGACAGCCTCAGATCGCCGTTGTTAATGGATTCTGGACAGGACGACTGCCCCCCCCCCCCACGATACTCTCAGCGGTTTGACTGTTAAGTTTTGTGTACTTGAGATGAAAGAGCTCGAGCAGCATATATGTGTATACAGCAATGGGTACTCCGTACACAAATGAAAACAATAAAGAAATCGATGGTGTTCGATTTTCCCAAAAAAGGACAGTAGGTACGAAAAGAATCCTCACCGTAATTATTTGTATTCGTTCGAAACCCCACCATCTGTCTACCACTTGCTGCTCTCACCTTTCTGGTGCGCGGGCCTCGGCTCATGGCTGTATGTTTGCGATGTCGAGGGACGCTGTAGGGGTCGAGGGTCAGATGTACACAGGGCAGAACAAAGGACCACACCCACGGCTTGCTGCCAGTGTCCGGTAGAGGTTCCTCCAACCGCTTCCTCCCAACCCAGCGCGCCATAATCGCCCGATCCCTGTCCGGTCTGCTGTGGCTCTGACCTTCCGCTTCCCCCCCCCCTCTCCGCTGCTGCCCACCAGCTGCCCTCCCGAGATGTCGTCCGAGGGGAACAGACGTTTTCAATGCCAGGTGCTCCCTCCCTGGCACCCAGCAGCGTAAAGACATCTCTAAAGGATTGCGTCCTTGTAGTCCCCGGCGCCGTCAGCTCGGCTCACGTCGGTCCCCTGGGTTTCCCGCCCAGAGGTTGGCCTCTTCAGCGACGTGCGCTCACCGCCGCACACATCACGCGCTCGTTCACCGGCGCCAGCCAGCCCGCGCCGACCAGTGGACGAGGTTCAAAGGTTTACCACAGGCCGTCCTATGGGAAAGGAAGAGCTGCGCTCGGCTTACGCCTGGGTCCAGGGTCCGGGGTCCAGGGTCCAGGCTCCACGACTGGGTCACCTGGATACACCTGGGTACACCTGAATACTGGGTCCTGGGTCCGGAGTCCAGGCTCTACGGCTGAGTTGCCTGGGTACGCCTGAGTCCTGGGTCCGGGGTCCACGGCTGCCGCATCTGGGCCGGGCGTGCCGGGGCCGGCGCCGTGACGCGCCTGACCCGAGGCGCCATGTGGCGCCTTGCTGCGGTACGCGCGGCCGGAGAGCGCGGCCGCGGTGTCACCCCGGTCGGCGCTGGTCCGGCGATGGCCGGCGCCGACCCCGTGCGGCGCCGGCAGGGGACGCCGGCGTCGCCTGCCGGCGGGACCGGTCCCGGTCCGGCCCCTGCCCGGACCCGACCCGGCGCCCACCTCTGGCGCCCGCTCCATCGTTGCCAGAGGTCGCACAGGCCAGGAAGGGCCAGCAGGTCAATGTGGACGCGACCGAGCCTGCGGCAGCGGGTCTCGGCGTCGTGCTACGGTCATCAGCGCTCATGCGCGGGATCTGGCGGCTGCTGGCCGGCGGACGGCCTGGCGGCGGTGGCCGGCAGGTTCTGCCTCGGCCCCTGCCGCCCCCCCCCCCCTCCCCCCTGGTGCGGGCGCTTGTTTTTTCTGGCCCGTCCGCGCGATTACGGAGGAGGGAGGGCATAAAATCACCGGCCATCTCCGATTCGACCCTCACCCTCCCTCCTTTCGCCACGGCCAGCCCGCCTAAAAACCCAGTGCCAGGTGCGCGCACGGGTCTTGGAGGGCGGTCGGCTGCGTCCGTGTGTTTGTGTCTGACGGCCTGGTTATGAGATGCATCAGCCAGCCATTTTGATGCGAGGAGGCGCGGCTATCGGCTATAATGGCGCTAGGAGTTGTGGCTGTTCGGCACCAACTCGTTTGAAGGCTGCACAAATTTCGTGCAGTGGCCTGAAGTCGTTCCTTGACTTATTATTAAATGTCTGCTGCCACGTCCGCCAGCAGGGCATTGTTCTGGTCAGTCACCAGCACTCTCATTGTTTGACTACTGCCTCCCCCGCCCCGCCCCCCTCCCCACTTTGCCAAGCTCAGCCGTCGGCGTGCCGTTCGTCAGCTCCACGTCTCCCGCTGCCGTGCCGTTTCAGCCGACCAGCAGGCCCCCAGGGAGTCGCCCGTCTTCTCCGGCCTCAGCGGCTGGGCACGGTCCGCCCGGCCCGCCGATGATCCGGGCTCCATCCTCCTCCCCCTGCCCCCCACACAACCGAGGAGCGGAGTCGCCTCGCGTCCTCGGACCGGCCGGCAGAGCGCACCGACCCCAGCCGGCGCCTAATGGGCGACAGGCGTGCGGTTTATCGGCCAGACCCCGGGGGCGCAGGCGGCACGCCGGCGGTTCGCCGCCGCCGCCGCCGCCGCGCCAGCGCACAGCCAGGCCCATTACTCGGCCGGCGGGTGTGACGGTTGCACTTGCAGGCGCGCTGGAGACGGACGTGGGCACCTGCGGCGTGCGGCGGGTGTGCGCCTGGACCGCGACCCGGCCCAGCCGAGCGCGCTGGCGCGCCGCCCGCCGCCGCCGCCGGCCGAGATAATCGAGTTAGCGCGGGCCTGTCGGGACAATGGAGCGCGTTGCCGGAGAGCGGGGGCCCGGCCGCTCCTGCACGCCCAGCCGGCCGGGGCCGCGGCCTCGCCGAACCGGCGGATGTGCTGCGGGTTGCGCTGCGCGATTGGGCTGTTGCATCCGGGGCTGGGAAGAGGCCACTTGCCCGCTTTGCGTGTGTGCTCTGCGGGGAGCGTGCTGCTTTGTTCCCATGCATTGACTTAGAACTGCGAGTGTTGCGCCGAAGCGGGGATGTTGGGTACCGAGCCGCTACATGAGCTGCATCAGCCCGTATTGCATTTGTTGTTCGCGAGTGAATGTGTCACTCAGTTCACACTTCACTGGGCGATCTGCTCTCATGTGCCTGTGTTCCGTTTTCAGGGCATGTCTTGGTAGCTGCGTGACGTCACGAGTGACCTCTCACCATGGCTGTGTCGCTGACTGCGCTGACCGCCGTTCTCGTAGTGGCCTGCCTGTCCGTGGCGGGGGCCTTTTGGCAGGAAGATCTGACGCCTCGGAGATACATCCCACTCGGTGAGTGCCTGCATGTGACGCTTCCCTCGCGTCATTTGGCTACGCGAACTGCTGGTGAATCGGGTAAGGTATCAACTACTCGCTGGCATTACAAACGGATCCCACAACTGCCCCCCCCCCCCTCATCGATGCGTACGTAGAACGAAGCATGAGGATTGAGGTAACTACCGCGCTCGTCTCCTCCCAACTTCCAGTGCCGTTCCTCAAGGTGCCCTACCGCGCTCATCTCCTCCCAACTTCCAGTGCTGTTCCTCAAGGTGCCCTGATCGTGCGCCGTGTTGGCCAGCTGAAGGCTATTCTGCTTTTGATGTTGCAACCGATCTAACTGGTTTCTGTTGTTACGCATTAATTCTGACGTGCAAGGATACGTCGATCTCTTTACCTGTTGACGCCTGAAACCTCATTTCGTGTTTTCCTTTAAACAACGCACCACTGGCGGCATCGTCGTCATCTGTGGCGCTCCTATGAGTCCGCGACCTTACAGTTGGCGTGCTAATCGCAGCCTGAGCACCTGGCGTCAGCGCAGCACGGTCCAGACAATGTCACCCCCGTCCGTGTCACCGGGCAGTCAGCGGCGCAGCCAAGCGCGAGCGGTGGCCGCCCCAGCCGCCGCCTGGGAGCGTGGACTGTCGCTGACACTCACCGAGGGCGAGCCGGAAGCCCTCGCGCCCACGTCCTCGGCAGTGATTGGCCACCCTGGGCTGTGGCGTCACATCGCCGGCGATGCTGGCGGCTCCCGTCGGCTTCACGGCCTGCTGGCGAGACCGCAACTGCAGATATGCCTGCTACGGTGTCCTGAAGGCCGGGGCTGCCCAGAGACGTCCAGACCATGATCGTGTCCTCGTTGTGGTGAGGGTCCTGCATGAGCGATGAATATGCAGTCGGGCCGCCCAAGAGCCGCAATAACAATCGAAGATGGTTGCGTGCCAGAAGGCGGGAAACGCCACTGCGTCTGGAGGCGTTTCGCCGACGGGTTGGCGTCTCTGCCGGCGGCGCCGCGATCAGTCCGGTCCCAACCGACGGCAGGCGCGGGCCACCGGCTCTGCCAGCGCCGGGCACCGGCCGGCGTCCCAGGGGCGGCGCGCGGCCGGTCTGTTTTTGTGCGCCGGCCTGTTGACTCAGGCCGGCCGGCGATACCGGTCGCCCGTGCCGTCGTATCGGACCCGCCATCGCGGCCCCGGCGGCGTACCTCCGCTGGATGCGAGCCACCGGGGCGGCGGGCGGCCGGCCGGGCTGACCCTCACGCTCCTCACGCTGGGGGCGATGGCCGGGCCGGGCGTATGCGTCCGGGAGAGGTGGAGGCGGCGGGACCGGTTTGTCGCGGCCGCCGCTCGCGTGCGGCGCGTCGTATGGGGTCGTAGAAGCACTGGCATGATTGCCGGCGCGGGAATCGCCGTGTTTTTCACCGTACATCAGCCCGGCTGAATTTCCTCCTCGACCGTATTCGTTTGAATCGTGCCGTCTGGTACGACTCTGTTATGAATCTAAAACCAGAGCGCCCGTTCAGGGAAATTGCATGTTCTGAAATTCGACTTTCAGGCTGCTGCGATAAATATTCCGCAGCTTGTTGGAAGGAAAATCTCATTTCTATTCTGCCATTATGAGAGGGCAGACTGAAGCTAACTTAGGCAGAATGGTAGCGCGTCAAACCAATAACGTCCGGACGAATGCATCGCGGGGAGCGGCGTCGAGCGGGCCCGCCGGCCCACCGCCGCGGCAGTGCTGCGGCCGCTGCGGCGGACCTTGCGGCGGCGGCTCCGGAGCGGCCGGGGCGGATGGTCTCATTTGTCGCGCGGACCGCATCGACGGGCGCCGCTCGCGGTCAACGTAATCCGTGGGAACTCGCACCGGATTCCATCCGGGCGTGTGAGTGGCGTGGCATTTTAATCCAGACGTCCCGCTCCCCCTGCCCGTCCCCCGCGAGGCATTGTCCGCCGCCGCGGCCTGTGTGCCGACCCCTGGCGACGCGCAGCGAGGGACGGAGGCGGTGACCGCGGCCGACCGCTCGGAGCAGATTTACAGAATTCCGTCGAGGTTCGGCGCGGTCCGGCTGTCACGCTTCAGCATGATCGAGCTCTCCGGTGCATTGTCGTAACGTTCCCGATCACGTGGGAAGGGCCCCCGCCCCCGCCCCCACCCCCCTGTCCGGCGCTCTGTTCGGAGGCATCCGAATCCATAAAACCTCGGCCCTGGTGATGTGGCATGCATCTGTCCCTGAGTTCACAACACCTGAGGCCGCCGGCGGGATTGCCGCGCTGTAGTGCAGCTGACTTTAATCTGCGGTTATTTGTCCGGCGTACGAAAATCTTGCAACCCATTTGCATACATTAATATTGACGCACGTTTGAAACTGACACCCTTGCCCGTTGTCGAGATCAGGCGCGGTGCTCTGCGCACCTGCCGTGCGGTGTGCGGGCTACCCGAGCCGGACCCGATGAGGTGCGGTGTCCCGGCGGAGCTGCCCCCCCCCCCCTCCCCCGCACCGCTGCGCCCGCCCATCGCCGGGCCAGATTCCGGCCCACTCGGCACCGGGCGGCCTCGGTACGGCCGCATTTGGCGCGCCCGAACCGGCCGCCGGCCCACCGGGCTCGGTTTTAAGAGCCCAGGAGGAAAAGCCGACTGGACGGCGTGTCCACCAGGCGCGGATTGTATGGAAACAGCCGTCCGTTATCGGCCGGAAAACCGATGGGCTTCGCCGCTGCAGACGGCGTCGATGCCGCGATATCGTGTTCGGTTACGGCCAACCGGGACAGGTGGTCGGCCGTCTGTGGGGCCGCGTGGGGCGGCTCGATCGCGCTCCGGGGGCGCAGACAGACCCGGCGTCCCCGGCTGCACCGGTCGGGCGCGGCGGCCCGTCCCTGCCGACCGCCCTGGCTCCTAGGAAGTCCGCGTGCTGCAGCATCCCGCGGCGCACCGGCTCGCCGGCGGTCCTGCAGCGGCGACGGCACGTGGATCAGCGCCGCTAAATTTGGACGGACGGGCGCCGGCGACAAACCGGCGCGGGGTGCCGCCGACACGGGGCTGCAGCTGGCGGCCCTCCTCCCCTTCCCCCAGGCCAGAAGCGCCGTCGGTCAGCGGGGCAACCGGTCCAGTCAGACGCGAGCGGACCGCGAGCCATGCATGCGCGCGGCGCCTCACCGAACGGGCGGCGGCAGCTGTAGGCCGGCTCACCGGGGCCGCCGCGTGCCGGTTTTTGCGTCCCCGATCCTGTGCGGAGGAGCGGGCGGGGGGACACCGGCCGGCGATGAAGGAGTGCGGCTGATTTGGGACGATGACGCTGCACGGCCCGCCCCGTTGTTTCGCGCTGATGACGCCCGTTGGATATGATGCGCGCGTTGTTCGGCGGGCCGGGGGCCGCGACTACGCGCTGCGCCGGCCGCTCCGCCGGTTTCTCCCGCTCTGTGAGCTCCCGCTGGCGGCATCAGTTGTTGCGACGACGCCCGCTCTCCGGCACTGAGCCCCGCTGCTAACCGGGGTCTCCCGGCGACGCCGTCGGCTGCCGCCGGCCGCAATAACGGGCCGGCTTTGTGCGCCCCCGGCGGGGGCCGCGGCAGTGTCCCGTTTTTGCTGCGGTACGCCGCGTCTTTTTGTGGTCCTCTGTGGCCATCGCATTCGTCTGCAGCTTCCCTCGGGCGCGGCGTGATGACGCACTGGGCTGCGGCCGGCCCGCCCGGCAGGCGGCGAGGCGGGGCTGGCCGGCTCGGATGCCGCTCGGAACCGCCGCACCGCCCGGCTGACCCCGAGCACCGGCGGCGGCCGGTCTGCAGCGGGTCATGACCGGGCCGGGCCGAGCCGAGCCCGTCGAGGCAGGCTCGGCGCCGCCGCGGCGGCGCCGGCGGCCGCACGGCGCTTGGGCTGGAACTGCGCGGACGCCTCTGCAGCTGGTCCCGGCGGGGCTCCATCAGCGAAGCCGCCGGCAGGAGGTCCGCGGAGGTGGAGTCGCTCACAGTCATAACCGAATCGCTGCGGAAACAGCAAACACGACCATCGACAGAGCGGCTGGGATGAGCGGTTATCGTCCGTACCCGAGGGAAACGCTGCTCACCAGAGCATCAGACCGACAGCGCGTCCCCAGCTTCCCGTCCAGTGCAGCCGGCGTCGGTGCGGCGCGGCCGGAGCTCAGAGCAACCACGGCGCTCCGGCGAGCCAAGCACGTGCAGGAGCCGCCCCGGCCGTGGTCGGATCTCAGATGCTCAACCTGCCTCTCAGATACTCGCGCCGTACACTATGTGCATTATTACACTCCTCACTACAATGCTGACGCCCGGAGACACGAACCGTGAACAGGATCCCGACCGTCGCCATGGCGATGGGGCGCGTCTGACGCAAACGAGACGTGGCGTCGTCGCCTTTGTCGCGGCTGGGCAGCGCCAGGCCCACAGTTGGCTGCTGAGTACACCGCGGCATGCGGGGGTCGCAGCCCAGGAGTGCGGCGCGTTATCAAGCACGCGATTTGCCAAGCTGGAGAATTTTAATCGCGGCTGAGGTGCCGATGGCTGCGGCGCCGAGCGCCGGGCGCTGCGCGGTCTGCACCGCTGGCGTGTCCGCCGCCGCTCAGGCAAATTTGATGGCGCCGTAAAAGGAGGGAACGCCTCCCGAACAAACTACGGCTGGCGCCACCGACGGGGCTGCGGCGGCCCCCGACCGTGTTCGCCGTCGCGCTGACAGAGGGCCGCCTCCGCCCGAGCGGGGAGGGTTGCTCACCGACGCCACACACGCCGACGTCCCGCCGCCGGCCCCGTGCCAGCCCTGAGATCTGGCGAGAGGTGGTACACTGGGAGCCGGGAGCGGTGAGCGGGGTGGGAGGGGGGAGGGGGGTCAGACAGGCAGCGGCGTCACTGGAGCCGCGCGAACCGGCGCGTGACGCCACTTGCCGGACTCCACAGGTCGCACGCGTCACCCGGACTTCCCAGGGTGCCAGGTTCCCAGATGATAGTATTTTCCGTTGTTGGAGTGGGCCATAGCGCCTTTGGTCTGTTCAGACCATTTCATTGCAGCTG